AGAATCGCTTGAGCCCAGGAGTTGGAGGTTGCTGTGAGCTATGATGCTACGGCACTCTACCCAGGGTGAGAGCTTGAGGCTCTGCCTCAAAAAAAAAAAAAAAAAAGATCCAGGTTTAGGACGAAGACAAGGGGAGTATCTAAATTCCCAGGTGCTGGTTGGCCCCTTTCTTATACATATTTATGAATCATGGATCAAATTCCTACTGAAGAAACAAAAAAAGCCTCAAATAACCCCCAACCCCCCCTAAAAAAAAAAACAGGTGGTCCATTTTTTTTCTGTGAGTTCAGGTAAAACTCAATTTTATTCCCCCAAAAGAAAATATATAAATTTCTGGCACATAATCTAGTCAGTTTTTGGTCAGGCAACCATATAGCACAATGGTGTGATTGGTAAAAATTCTGGGCCCAGTCATTGTAAAGAGAGACCTGATAGCTCATTCCAAAGTACACAAAGCATACTTGGGCAGTGCCTGTGGCTCAGTGAGTAGGGTGCTGGTCCCATATACCAAGGGTGGCGGGTTTGAACCCGGTCCCGGCCAAACTGCAACAAAAAAATAGCTGGGCGCTGTGGCAAGAGAATCACCTAGGCCCAAGAGCTGGAGGTTGCTATGAGCTGTGACACCACAGCACTCTACCAAGGGCAACAAAGTGATACTCTGTCTCTAAAACAAAACAAAAAACCAAAAAAATTAGCATACTTAGTAGGTAATACTTCATGACCACAGATGATACCAAGGGACTGACATATAATGCATCGAATTAGAGGCTCAAGATGAACGTAAAATAATTAGTTCAATTCCCTGGCATGTCCCCAACCCACACTCCCACTGAAGCTCACCGGCCATCCAGGGAAGGTACCATTGTCCCACTTCTTCTCAAACTCAGTCTGAATCTTCCCAAAAAGTTCATTTTGATCTTGCAAGGGCTTCACCCTATCTGTGTAATCCTGAAGGTACTCAAGCAGCATCTCTAGGTATCTACAAAGGAACATGCAATACAGACAAAGCAAAACGGATTTCTATTTTTGATATATTGGAATGCCCTATAGAATATATATACTTATAATTTTATTAATACTAGATTTTAAGATAATATTCATTTTTATTTTAATTTTGTGACAGTGTCTCACTTTGTCACCCTCAATAGAGTGCCTTGACATCATAGCTCACAGCAACCTCAAACTCTTGGGTTCAAGCAACCCTCTTCGTTCAAAAGGTGGGACTACAGGCGCCAGCTATTTTTAGAGATGGGGTCTTGCTCTTGCTTAGGCTAGTCTCGAACTCCTAAATTCAGGCAATCCACCTGCCTCGGCCTCCTATAGTGCTAGGATTATAGGCTTGAGCCACCGTGCCTGACTCAATAATATTCATTTTTAAACAAACTAAAAATAGACTTTTTCCCCTAAAATGTTATTTTGATTCTGACCCTTCCTACCTCATCCTCATGACATAATGCCAAATACTAAGGGCTTAATTAACTCACACACAAAAGATTTCAAGTAAAAAAAAAAAAGAGAAAAAGAGAGAAAGTTATGGGCTCAGCGCCCATAGCATGGTGGTTATGGTGCCAGCCACATACACCAAGAGTGGTGGGTTCAAACCCAGCCTTGGCCAACTAAACAACTGCCAACAAAAAATAGCCTGGTGTTGTAGTGGGCGCCTGTAGTCCCAGCTACTTAGGAGGCTGAGGCAAGAGAATTGCTTAAGCCCAAGAGCTGGAGGTTGCTGTGAGCTGTGATGTCACAGCACTCTACCCAGGGCGACATAGTGAGACTCTATCTCAAAAAAAAAAAGGTGGGGGGAAGGGAGGAAGTTATCATCACTGAACTCCAAAGAGACAGATCTCTGAATATGAGACTTCCTTCTATAATAAGACAAAATTAAGAACGGTATGGGCATAAGAATGAAGATGTACCCATAGATACCATTGTTCAAAGCCAGACTATTACAAATTTTGACAGTTTGACTCTGTCACCCAGGCTAGAGTGCCTTGAGCTCAAGGGCTGTGGCAGAAGCCTAGCTCACCACAACCTCAAACTCCTAGGCACTAGGGATCCTCCTGCTTCAGCCTCCTAAGTATCTGGGACTATATGTGCCTGCACAATGCCTGGTAATTTTTTCTATTTTTAGGAGAGATGGGACCTTGCTCTTGCTCAGGCTGGTCTCGAACTTCTGAGCTCAAATGATCCTTCCACTTGGGCCTCCCAAAGTGCTAGGATTACAGGCAACATAACCAGCTACATTTTTTTTAAAAAAGAGATATAGTCTTGGCTCGGCGCCTGTGGCTCAAGCGGCTAAGGCGCCAGCCATATACACCTAAGGTGGTGGGTTCGAATCTAGCCTGGGCCTGCCAAACAACAATGACGGCTACAACCAAAAAATTGTGGCAGGCACCTGTAGTCCCAGCTACTCAGGAGGCTGAGGCAAGAGAATCACTTAAGCCCAAGTTTGAGGTTGCTTTGAACTGTGATGCCACAGCACTCTACCAAGGGTAACATAGTGAGACTCTGTCTCAAAAAAAAAGAAATTTCAAACCTCAGAAAGACATTAAACAAGTTTACTTGATCCATGTAATAAGAATAATGTAGAATAGCTGTTACTAAGCCAGTATGCTTTGGAACAGTGTTTCCAAGAATGATGGTATAAATGTTTGGGGACAAGACAGACTATGTATGAAAAATTTGGGAAATATGAAGTTAAAGTGACCATTTTTTTTATTTCCAACTTTAGTTTTTCTTAATATACTAACATACATTCTGAATTTCCAATATAATATGCAGCATTTTCTCAACCACATAACTTCCCTTCACTCCCCCCAGTCAAGATCATTCAAAAATAGAAAGAGTGAAAAAGACATTCAAATTAGGATGGAGATCCCCTTGGCCTTTGGACTATATTTGAATATTCTGGTTTTCGTAAGGTAAAGGCATGCTTCAATCCACATTCTCAATGTTTACAGGCCAATATTGAGAAAGAGAACTTATATATACAAATATATATGCTGAATTCTTTTTACTCGGCAGTGGCTTTCTTAGTTCTTTTAAACAGATGATTCTTGTACTTACAAATAGATAATAGTTTGTAATACTCTTCCCAAAAAAAGAGTAGGATAAATTTCTGCCAGGGGTCATAAGCTGTCCCATAGTGACCCCAAATAATTAGGAAAGCACCTCGGGATAAGCTGTCATTTTGCAACTGAGGGTGCTCACTAAAAACTGAAACTGGTTCCTGATAAGGGTTCCTGTTGTAGGTGGAAAAATAAGGCTTTTATAACAACTGTTACCTGCCATGTATTTGCAGAGAAATAAACATAATTCATTTTGCTTCTTCCTTACCCTGTGAGGAATGCTTTACCTTTTAGTCTTTCCACCTTTCTCAGAAAGCTATCAAGAATATCTGCAGTTGCCTGGCACAGTGGCTCACGCCTATAATCCCAACACTGTGGGAGGCTCAGGCAGGAGGATTACTCAAGCTCAAGAGTTCAAGACTTGTCTGAGCAAGAGTGAGATCCCAACTCATTAAACAAATAAAAAGCCCAGCAGGGCGCCACGGTGAGCTCCTGTGGCTTTGGGAGGCTAAGACAGCAGGATGCCCAAAGCCTGAGTCTGAGGTTGCAGTGAGCTGTGACGCTACTGCACTTTGCTCAGGGCATAGGGTAGGACTCTGCCTCAACAACAAAAGAATATCTGAAGCCAGGATTTGCCGCTGCCACCCATACTGTAAAGCTTGACCACCAGTGATAGTAAGCTTAAAAGCTATGGTTGTGAAAACATTTTTGCTAAAAGTGGTATCTAGAGAAAAGAGCACCACCTCAGTTCATATGTTTGTATTTCTCTAGATTCCAATTTGATTTCTAAATAACACAGGTGGATTTCTGAACCTTCTCTGAAAATAATAATTGTTTTACATAAAGATTTGTGTGTTGTTTTAATATTGTAGACAGGAGGCCTGGCAATGTGGCTCACACGTATAATCCTAGCACTCTGGGAGGCCGAGGTGAGTGGATTGCCTAAGCTCAGGAGTTCGAGACCAGCCTGAACAAGAGTGAGACATACACACCCCCCATCCCATCTCTTAAAAAAAAAAAAAAAGCCAGATGTCGTGATAGGTGCCTATAGTCCAAGCTGAGGCAAGAGAATCACTTGAGCCCAAGAGTTTGAGGTTCCTGTGAACTATGACACCATGGCACTCAACTGAGGGTGATAAAGTGAAACTCTGTCTCAAAAAAAAAAAAAAAAAAAAAACCAGAGAGAGAGGGTCTTACTCTGTTACCCAGGGTGGAATATGGTGCTACAATCATAGCTCAACTCCTGGGTTGAAGCAATCCTCTAGCTTCAGCCTCACAAATAGCTAGGACTATAAGTACATGCCACCATTCTTGGCTTATTTTTCTTTATTTTTTTGTAAAGCCAAGTTTAATAATGTTGCCTAGGCTGGTCTCAAACTCCTGATCCTCCAGCCTCAGTTTCCCAAAGTGCTGGGATTACAGGTTTGAGCCACCATGCTCAGCCATAAATGTTTTAAAACCACATCATTCACAACCCCTATCCTCCAATAAACCTAGAAATCATTCATGTATCCCTTTTAGGGAACAAAATTGAGAACCTCACCTTCAAACCATCACATGGTCTTCTAGTCAAATCCAGTAGAGGCCTAGAAGTTATTATCTCTTACCTTTTATACTCTGCATTCTTTCTTTCTTTAGGAATGTCAAATAACTGGTCAAAGATGGACAGGTATGTGATATAATCCAGCTTCTGAAAAGGAGAATGAAATGACAAGAGATTCAGTTAGGTATTTGTACCAGTTACAATACAATCTCCAATAACTGAGATCAAGATTGAGTGTTTTCTAACAAAATAACAAGGCCCAGATCAATAATCACTATACTTTTGGAACATTTCCTCACAACTCCATAAGGGATCTAATTACAGGCCCTGGGTTACAAATGAGATAGGTTCTGAGTTTATTCTGGGTTTTTTTTTTTTTGAGACAAGAGTCTCATTATATTGCCCTCAGTAGAATTCTGTGGTGTCATAGGCTCACAGCAACCTCAAACTCCTGGGCTTAAGTCATTCTCTTGCCTCAACCTCCCAAGTAGCTGGGACGACAGGAACACACCACAATGCCTGGCTATTTTTTTTGTCATTGTTTTTTAGCTGGCCTGGGTTGTGTTCGAACCCACCAGCCTGATGCATGGGGCTGGTGCCCTAACCACTGAGCAATAGGCACTGAGTCTGCAGGCTTGTTCTTAAAATCAATTTGTATGTAAGTTGAAACAGGTACCTGTAATAGACTTCATTCATAAATGCAAGTCTTATGTCAGCTGGATGTTTGTAACTCAGTTACTTATTGCAACATCATCCACTTAAAAAGTGGAAGCTGTATGGGGTGTTTGTAACTCAGGGACTGTGAGAATATACTTCTCATGACCCTTCTGAGATCATCATATTAGACCTTATCCCTTGCAATACATATATATATTTTTTGAGACAGAGTCTCACATGGTCACCCTTGGTAGAGTACAGTGGTATCACAGTTCACAACTTTCAACTCTTGGATTCAAATGATCCTCCTGCCTCAGATTCCCTAGTAACTGGAACTACAGGTACCCACTACAACACCTGGCTATTTTTTTTTTTTTAGAGACAGGGTCTCACTCTGGCTCAGGTTGGTCTTGAACCTGTGAGCTCATGCAATCCACTCTCCTCAGCCTCCCAAGTGCTAGGGGCATGTGGGCTAGTGGGCATGAGCCACCACCCAAGGCATGATAAATTATTATTTTTTGAGACAGCTTCAAGCTCTGGGTAGAGTGCCGTATCATCACAGCTCACAGCAACCTCCAACTCCTGGGCTTAAGCAATTCTCCTGCCTCCGCCTCCCAAGTAGCTGGGACTACACAACACCTGGCTATTTTTTGTTTGCAGCCGTCATTATTGGTTGGTGGGCCCAGGGTGGATTCGAACCCTCCAGCTCAGGTGTATGTGGCTGACGCCTTAGGCACCTGAGCTACAGGCACTGAGCTATGATACATTATTTTTAAACGTCTTTCAGAAAAGATATTCAATAGCTATTTCTCTCTCTCTCTCTTTTATTTTTGAGACAGAATCTCAAGCTATCTCCCTGGATAGAACACTGTGGTGTCACAGTTCACAGCAACCTCAAACTCTTAGGCCTAAGGGATTCTCTCTCTTGCCTCAGCCTCCCAAGTAGCTAAGACTACAGGCGCCCGCCACAACAC